ATGTTCTAGTAACCATTTTACCAACTTCACGAGCCCAAAATCCTGAAATAAAAAGTCAGTTTTAAATGTCACCACATCTGACACTGATCTAAGATGATGGATTCTAGACCCCTTTCCACTCTCAGCAGGGAAGGAATGGCACAGAGGCCTCTCTCCCTGAGCCCGCTCCCAGGCATATCCAAGGGCTTGGAGTGCAGCCATCTTCTCAGTCCTACAAGGCACTGTGACTGAAGGCAGGGCCACAGATGACCTTCTAAAAAAGTGTGTCCACCAAGACTGATGATTTTCCCACACAGCAGCCAGCCAGCTTCTTCCTGTTCCTCCCATGGACTGCATGTTGGGTCAGTGGCCTGGAGACCTACAGATCAGCAGGATTCGACCAAATCCTGTGGGTGCTCAGGGCCAGTGAACAGTCTGGTTCTCCCTTCAACTTGCAATTATTTAAATATTTGTTCAACATTTATTTGGAGGAGAGGCTGCCAGCATAAAATAGAAGAATTCAGTACTCACGGCAGAGTCTAAAGAATGTCATAATGATCTTTTATTTGTCATTGAAAAATTGAATGGGGAAAGAGATGACAAGACAATATTGTACATTGCCCACGGTTTTGAAGATAATTCTGAAATCTAAGAAAACTCTATTCCTGAAAAAGTATTTTGCCCACAAGCAAAGGTGGGCAGAAAAAACGCACAAAAAAATATATTTGAAGGAAAAAAAATAAATAATCCGAATATACAAAAAGTACCAATGTTGATAAGAAAGACAGTAATGAGCTGACTGATTCTGCAGAACAGGGATGATCAGGCATAGAAGAGGCCCCGTGTGGATGTGACCAACATAAAACATCATAACCATGAATAAAGCCCTGCAGATCAGTTCCCTCTGTTCCCCAGGGCCCTCCTTTCCCCAAACTGTGGATGCCTAAATTTCCACAAATACAGAATTGTTCTGTTACTTTAAAATTTGAAAGAGTATATACTTAGAGAGAGGTAAAATTAAGTTTTCTCTGTTATTTTAAAAGTCTAATTTGAATATGTTTGTAAAATCTTTCCTTTTCAAAGAAAGGGCAGGAAGGCACCAGGAATCCAGAGCAGGAGGGAAGAGGTACCACAGCCAACAGGAGTGGGCTTATAAATAGTGGAGATTCCCACAAGCAATGTTTCTCACTTACAGTGCACATGGGGGCTGTCCTATTGATGAGAACAAATGCGATTTTTTTTTCCTTTGCAAAACATGGAACCAGATAATTTATGGATGAAAGGAGCCTTGATTATCCCCCCCTCCCAACCCTCAGGGTGACTCCTCAGTTTACAGATGTGGACCTAAAGTGCAGAGAAGAAAACAGACCTGCCCAAGGTCATAAGGGGATGCCCCCACACCCTGAAATGATCCCATCTTACTGTTTTTATTGCTACAAAAAGACTTTATTTAAAAAATCCAAGACTCCTTCACTTGTAGAAAGGTATTTTAGAATCTAAAATGCTAATAATGATTATTCGTCAGGGATCTGGTGCTGCCTTACTCACCAAGGAATCATTTGGGGGCGGGGAAAAGGGCTCTATGCTCTTGTTTGTTTCATAATTTCAAGAAATCATTCAAATGATTAGGGGATTTTATTTAAGTTATTTATTTAGGGGTTTCACTTTCTAAATTTGTATCCACTTTTATTTCTGCTTTTCAGAATCTAATAAGGATTTCTGAAGTCATTATCAAGTCCAGAGCTAAACACAGAATCATCAGTTATGAGTCAGTCTAGGAACCCAGATTATGTACTTTTACATACAAATGTTTATTTCTATTTAACCCATCTAAATATCACTCTTGTGTTCTTTTTTTAATTTTAATTTTTTTTAATTGCTTAAAGTATTACAAAGGGTATTACATATGTGTCATTTTTTCCCCCTGCCCTTGAAAATCCCCTGGCCTCCCCTACGTCCCAGTGTCTTATGTCCATTGGTTATGCTTATATGCATGCATACAAGTCCTTCGGTTGATCTCTTACCCCCCTCCCTCCTGCCCCCCAACCCTCCCCGGCCTTCCCGCTGCAGTTTGACAATCTGTTTGAGGCAGCTCTGCCTCTGTATCTATTATTGTTCAAAAGTTTATAATGGTCTTTATTATCCATGAATGAGTGAGATCATGTGGTATTTTTCCTTCATTGACTGGCTTATTTCACTTAGCATAATGCTCTCCAACTCTTGTGTTCTGTTGTTATATTTTGGGCTAACAGCTAAGTTGGTTACACTTGAATAATAGCCCCAGAAAGGGGTATCCATATGTAAACCAGAAATCTTACTTGTGGGCATTAAAGCTGTTTATAGTCTTTAAATAATTTGGAAACTTTATTTGTGCTGACAGGAATATGTAAATAATCAATGTCAGGATTTTGTAGGAAAATACAATAAAGTCACATATTCTAGTTACATGCATTAGAGAAGTTTTAAAATATAAAAAGCCCAAATATTTAGTTAGTAATTCAAAGCACTGCAATTTCCTCAATATATTTGTTCAATTAAAAACATAAATTGAATAAAATAAATTCTGTCCTAGTCAAACATATTTATAATTTCTGAGTCTAGTTGTTGCTTGCTTATTAATGCACTTCATCATTAAAATAAAGTGGAAACATATGCTTAAATATCATATATTACTTGAAACCCCATGGAAAAGTCTATGCTTTTTATCCTATGGGGGTGGTGTTTGTTGGCATTGTCCCTTCTACCTGTCAATCAATTTTACCAAAATCTAGCCAGGATTACACTTCAACCCCTGCTAGATCACCCATCCAACAAGTGCAAAGGGAAGAGAGACAAATGCGGAGGAATCACCTAAAAAATATGCCATTATCAACTGAAAGCCACTGAAGAGTCAATAAAAAATGAACTTTGGAAATAGGTTCCATTTTAAAAAATTCAGTGACTGATATAAATGGAACTAAAATGAAGGGTACAGGTTTGTGGACAAGTTTCCTGGTTCTAGTGTCCATACAGTGGCACTGATGGTTTATACAGTGGCATTCACTGACGCAGAGTATCAGGCAAAATTAGGCAATTCTTTTTGGCTGAACACTGGGCTTTAGTTGGCATGATCCAATCACATTTCTGAATCATCATGTCAGGAAAATTCTTAAGTAAAGTTTAAAAGGTTATGTCAGGCTCATGAATGTGAATACTAGATTTTGATTATAAGTGTGAAGACAGAGTGGACATATGAAAGGAAAAAGGAGCATAATTTGGCAAAACATGACCTGGAGCAAAACAATGGAGCCCGGAGAAGAATATCAAGTTTCAATAGGTAACCAAGGACAGAGTGGTAGCTCCACCAAGAGCACAGTGATGAAGGGAGGGCTTTGTAGCTTAGAAACAAACAAAGTGTTTACCTTGGGAGCATCACAGTGTTTTAAAACAACATTCATAGTATAAACCATTACTTTATGGTATAATATCTTATTTATTTGCCACTTAAAGAACCTCACTAATTTTAAAAAGTGATATGACACTTACCTGCAGCATTCACAATTCTTTTTGCTCTCACAGATCCCTGTGGTGTTTCAACATCCCATGTTCCATCTGACCTGGGTTTCAGAGAAGTCACTGGTGCAGGATATTTTAAAAGGGCACCATATTTCCTAGCACCAGCAGCCAGGGCCATAGTTAGAGAGTAAGGATCAATATGACCATCGCCAGGATTATACAATCCAGCTAAAATCTAAATCAATCATAAAAAATCAATATTCAAATGAGTATGTGCTCATTATTTGGTGTAACTATATCTGCCAGAAAATGTTTAAAAATTGGATTTGAAAAATGCATTGAGGCATCAGATTCATCAGTCATTTTCCTGTATCAAAGCTCAGACTTAGGCAGGATGTACACTGAGAGTTAAGTAGACAGGCTGAGAGAGCCTTGCAATTGTCTTCAATATCCATCCTCTCCTCCCCCCTCATAGAAATAAAAATGGTATGTTTATTTAGATACATGGTTGCTAAGAACAGTTTCCAATAGTTGGCAGCTATAAGCTCCAGTTGATAGATAAAACTATTGCTAAGTTCTGGTCAATAAAATGCAAATGAAAGGGTCATGTGGCAACTCCCATAAACCATTATAAAAAGACAACTGGCCTATGTCCTTTGTCTCTCCCTTCTTCTTTGCCCCTTCCTCCATCTCCCAGTCTGGACTGCAGACCGATGGCTGGAGTTCTAGCTGCCACTTAGAATAAGAACAGAAGAGTCACACCCTAGGAATGACAGAGCAATGATTTGGAAGATGACTGGGTCCCTGAAGTCTTTAAGGAAAACAGCTAGCATTCAAATCCAGACTAAGTAAAAGAGAAATAAACTTCTATCTTGTTTAAATATTATTGGTTTCTGTCATTTGTGGTCAAATCTAATACTAACAGATCAAATATTTATATTTAATTATTTAATACTGTTAGTAAATTCACATGCTAAATATATACCTGGTGTCAGAAAAATATAAACTTAATTCAGTCATTCAACAACTATTTCTTGAATACTACTTTGTGGCAGGGCTTGAGGCTAGTACTATGGGAGAAACAAAGAACAAAACTCAGGTGAAACAGGAATGAATACGCTAAAGTGGTATATTTAGGTCTTAGCCATTCAACAAAAATCTATTGTGTACCAAATATGAGCCAGGAGATGTCAACTTTTTTGTCTGTGTCTGTTGAGATAATCATCTGTTTTTGCCTTTTATTCTATTAATGCAGTGCTACATTGATTGATTTTCAGATGTTAAATCAACCCTGTATTCTTGGAATAAATTGCACTTGGTCATGTTGCATAATCCTTTTTATATGTTGCTGAATTAAGTTTGCTAGTATTTTGTTGAGAACTTTTGCATCAATATTCGAAAGGGATACTGATATTTTTTCCCTTGTGATATCTTTGTCTAGTTTTCATGTCACAGCAATAATGGCCTCATAGATGAGTTGGGAAGGGTTCAATTCTCTTTTATTTTGGGAGGAGTTTGTGAAGACTTGGTATTAATTCTTCTTTAAATGTCTGGTAGAATTCACCAGTAAAGCCATTTGGGCCTAGGTATTTCTCTGTGGGAAGTTTTTGATGACTAATCCAATCTCTTGTTATACGTTTAGAGGAAGAGACTTTCAATTCTAATGGAATTCATATTACTGTAACCTTTCAAATGTCACATTGGTGTTTTATAATGGGTATATCCTCACAGTGATCCTATATCTGTTTAATTTGGCATTCTGCCCCAGAGATGGAGAATACTCTTCTGACATGTCTCCATACTTAATGCCCTTGAGAAAAATCTGATGGTGAGAACTTCCAGCGAAGTATTCCAAGATTAACATATACACAGATATAAGCACATCCTCTCTAGGAGCAGTGATGGAATTTCAATGTAGACAATGCAATGCCACACCAGCCTGCCATCACAGTGGCATCACACAACACTATAGACAAGGGAGTGCCAACAACCTGTAAAGACTCACAAGGGCAAACAACCCCAGCACCCAGATCAATGATACAAACCCTCTGGTATCAGAGATGCTGCAGGAGTCACCAGGGAGAAACATAACCCTCTGCTTCCCTCAACAGTCCTACCCGGTACCTTTAGGAAGTATGTACCAAGGAGTCAGAGTTGGGTTCAAATCTCTGCTCAGCTATTTCCAGCTGGATGAGCTTAGACCCACTATGTAAACCATCTAAGCTACAGTTTCCTGTTTATGTAATATATACCTTATATTATTATTGTGAAGATAAAACGAGTCTATGCATGTTAAGGGCTTAGCATAGTAACTGGTACATAAATATGTGCTGTAGTATTATGTAGCATAATCAGTCATTGTCATTATTATGAAAATTGGATTATCACCCAGCAAAAAAAGACAATTCTCAAGTGGATTCTTTTAGTCAAATCTGTAAAACTAGATAAATACCTGGCATAGAGCCTTCCAGGGAAGAATACATATGAGCTAGGGGATATTTGTGTAGCAACATAGTAGTACTTCTACACTTGATTTTGTAAAAAATTTTAATAACACAATCTTTCCTGGGATGATATACTTAACATCCCAGGTTGTTTTATTTATAGCTCTCAAACAGAATGTTTATGTAAGGAAATCCCCAGATCTGAGGGACACACTAGTAGAAAGGAATAGAATATGTTTCCTCAGTTGTCATAGGTGGAAAACTAATAAAATTTTCATTACCTTTTCATATTTCATTTGGCATACACAGAAGCTCAGCTTGTAATTTACCCAAATTCCAGTATTAATCATTTGATTTTGTCATTTAAAATATATATACAAAGTTTTTCTATTTTTAATTAACAACTTCAAATAACTTTTTCTAATCTTAATTCCAGTCAATAAATAGTGAAAATGCCCTTAGGATAAATACCTTGTTCATGTTGAGTAAAGGGAACATCTCTTGAATTTTCTCAGGTTCAATAATATACTGTTCTGTTGCATGCCAGCCAGTCCGAGTCATTTGATATTTAAATTCATCTACCCTTACAGGAGTTGTAGCAATTCTGATACTACCTGGCTGATGGAATCCCACCACCTGTTATAATAATCCCAATAAACACACATCAATAAATCCTTATTTGGGACTGAAACATAATTCTTCTTCAGTACAATGAAAATGCAAATATACAACAAAAGAGATTTACTATCCAGTGAAAGAGATAACTACATAAACATATTTGGATCTTACAAAGAGACATTCATTCATCAACTATTTATTAAATGCCTACTCTGCTCCAGGCACTATACTAAGTCCCAGAGATGCTGTTATGAACAAGAGAGGCAAAGACCCTGCTTGTATAGAGCTTACAGGTGAAGCAGAGAGCTAATTGCATAACACAATAACATAAGATAGTGTTAATGTACAGAGTGAAAGAAAATTATGTGGCAAAGAGAAAAACAAAGGATTTCAGGCAGGAATATGAAGAATCAGAATGCTGCAGTGATGAGACTGTGACTTGAAACAAACCTTCATTTGACATTTAATCGAAGTCCTTCAGTTGGCCAAGCACTCAGCTTGGCCCCGGGCTTACAGAGATAAATGATGCAATCTTTGCCCTCAGGCTGCTCATACTCTGTAGGGAAGACCAAACAGGAAAGCAACAACCACCATAGAGAAATGAGTGTTATAAGAGAGGTATACACCAATATTCTTAGAACCAAGTGCCCTGTCCTCAGCTCGGCCTGACGGGTGGGTGGGCAAAGTCAAGGCCAGCTTCTCAAAGGGGATGACCCCCAGAAAAGATGGAGGGTAAGTGCTGAAATGGGATCCAGAGGAATGTTGTTTCAGGCAGAGAGCCCAGCACATTCCAGAACTGTAAGTAATTAAGAAGAGCTGAAGCATCTGAGCATAGCAAAAAGCAGCAAGAGCAAATGCTGGAAAGGCAGGCAGAGCTCAGCTGTGCAGGTCCCCCTCCTCTGTCCTTCGTCCTGTAGACCATGCGGAGCCATTTGATGGCTTTAGGCAACGGAAATGGCATGAGGATTCTAAGTAGACTTCAGTCTTAGCCTATGGGTGTTCTAAGCCTGCCAGTTTATTTTGAGAATGCTAATAACTATGAGAAGAAATAAAAATACAAGTGAGGGGCTTTTAGTGAAGTACTTTTCAAAGCCATGTCTCAGTATGCCATGCACCGTTGTCAGATCCTTTGTCATCCAGTGGCTGAAAGGCTATAATTTCTTAGTTTCTGGGTATAGTAACTGACTAAAGATATTTCTGAAAGCTGCTGCTTTGTATTCTTCCTTCATTAAAAAAAAGCGAGAAGAGTGGGTAATTACATGGGCAATGTACTTCAAGAATTCAAACTGATTGGAGAGCAAACTTCAGAGGCTCTTACCTTAAACTCTTATCAGATTTCTCTACCACATTAAACATTTCACATACCCTTGATGCCACTACACACAGCTGTACACGATGATGTCAAAATCCTTCAGAGAGCTTACATATTTCTAAGACACTCACCTAAAAGTCAATTTCAAGTTAAACGTATTTACCTGTCCGGTTTCTTCTTCCAGTTTCTCATAAAGTTTGATGCTATCATAGTGTATTTTCTTCAAGTTTATTCCAGGATGAAAGTAAGTTGTTAAACCTGCCTTAAAAGTGAAGAGGAAAGGACATACTGAAAAAAAATTAACATTCTGAAAATGTTGACAGCTTATCTGTTAAGCAGGAACTTTTTGCTGGCAAGAAACGGAGCAGCACCAGCCAGCCCCTTGGGATGAGAACACATCAGCTGCAGTTGAGCAAGTCCAGAGCATAAGGCTTGTTACACAGCTATAAGAACAGTTTGAACAGTAATGTCAGAGCCAGCTGATAAACATATACATTAAGTCCCTAAAAGTTATCAGGAAAAGGGTTGTTTGAAGATTCAGAATGGGATGATTTGGTAGGAAGTTTAGGAACATATGCCATGAGGCAGAATATGGGGGGATGGTATACAACGTGAACTCAAACCAGCAAATCATCGGTGTTCCCTTAAGGGGAAGGACTATAGACTAACAGAGTTTTCCTTGACCCAATCCCCACCATTCCCTTGAATGCAGCAGCCTTCCTGTTTCCTTTGAAATTTCCACAGTTCAAGAATTGGAATGTTCCTGGAAATTATAGCCTAGTGATTTGGTGAACAGACTTTTGTCATAGTATTACTTGTCTGATGAGCTCATAGATTGTATCCCACAAATATTTGTTGAATAAATACTAAGTAATAACTCTCAGGAAAATAATATCTGAATGTTAGCATGCCAAAAACCCTTTTATCAACTCAGATGCAATGTAGTATCCAGATAAAGAATCCCAAGCAATTATATGAAGCAAGTTCTTTCGGTTAAGTGTCTAGGGCCCCAAATTGCAGCTAATGTTACCCGGAAAGTTCATCAAATAAAATCTGTTTAGGAGTAGTTATAAGGTTCTTCTATGGTAGTGGTGGACAATTGGTTCTCCTGAACTCAATAACACCCCATTTAAAGGTTCGTCAATCCTTCCTTATGGACCAGAATCCCCAGGCTTCTATCAAGTACTTGTTCAAGCATTTGGACATATGCACAGCTACTTGTTGTTTCTTTGTTGTTAATCCTCACCTGAGGAAACTTTTCCCCCACTGATTTTTAGAGAAAATGGAAGTGAGGGAGTAGGGAGAGAAAGAGAGGGAGGGAGGAAGGGAGGGAGGAAGGGAGGGAGAGAGAGAGAGAGAGAGAGAGAGAGAGAGAGAGAGAGAGAGAGAGATACATTAATATGAGAGAGACACATCAATTGGGCCTCTCAACCAGGGCTGGGGATCAAACTCACAACAGATCAAATGTGCCCCTTGACTGAGAATCGGACCCGTGACCCTTTGGCTCACAGGACAATGTTCTAACTACTGAGCCAAACTGGCCAGGTCATGCACGGCTACTTTTTTTGGGAAAATCCTGGCTCAGCTTATAAGTTCTCTCATAGTATAGCCCCATTATGATGGAACTAAAAGTTGGGCTCCTTAACTTTCAGTCAAACACTCTACTTTCCTTTTACAGTGGTTATCAACTTTCTGGCCCTTTAAATACAGTTCCTCATGTTGTGACCCAACCATAAAATTATTTTCGTTGCTACTTCATAACTGTAATGTTGCTACTGTTATGAATCGTAATGTAAATATCTGATATGCAGGATGGTCTTAGGCGACCCCTGTGAAAGGGTCGTTCGATGGCCAAAGGGGTCGCGACCCACAGGTTGAGAACCGCTGCTTTACATGCTTAATATCATTGTGCATATGAACTTTTTTAGTTCAATATAGGGAATTCCTGGCCTTCATTTATCTGCTAGAGAACTCAATTTTGTCTTTCCTATAGCTCCCATCATTTGAGGAAACTGATATTCATGAGCACTGACCTAGAATTTTGGGTCACCATTCACTCCTCAAGATACTTTAAATTTTAACCTAGGTTAAGCCAGAAAGTTATATACCAACTACATTACATCACCCCAGAAAGCTGTTTTCATGGAAGGAGTTGATGATCTTTCATCTGAAAGAGTTACATAAGTTAGTTTTTATAAAACTGTTATTCAAAAAAATTTAGCCCAATATCCTTCACCTAGGGAAGAAATTTTTCTAGGAGTTCCTGATCAAGGAAAAGCTAGTCTACTAGTACCACAGTGAAATAATGTACCTATTTCCACTGAAAAACTCATACTACTCTAGTTTCCTTGCTGCGAGGACAGTCAGAAGTAAGTCCCGAGCCTAATTTATTTTGCCAGGAATGAAATTATGTTATTATTGTTTTGTATCTTATACATTTTTTATTAACTGATTTTTGTGTTTTAATCTGTGTTTAAAATTTAGGGTCAACCATATCTGTGCTTTTATTGTAAGTTATCTGAATATAATATCTTACATGGTAGTTATTGTTAATTTATATAAAATGTTTTTCTGTTCTAATCTTCAGCAAGGTTATATTAAATGGGAAGTTTGGAGAAGGAGAAAATATTGTTCTTATCCTTCAAGATTTTATGGTCTGATTGAATCATGAAACTTTCATACTTAAAGCATAAGTATGATTAAGTGCTGGAACATATAAAGACTTAAGAACCAAGGAAAGAAAAGATGCTGGAATGGTCACAGACGTCTTTAAGGAAGACAAGAAAAAGGTTTACATTTGATTTGAAGAAAGAAAATAATTGTAGTTGGCAGGGAAGTTAAAATAGGGAAGATAAATCAGAGATACGAATAATCAGTGGAAACTATAGCCCTTAGAACAGTGGTTCTCAACCTTCTGGCCCTTTAAATACAGTTCCTCATGTTGTGACCCAAACATAAAATTATTTTCGTTGCTACTTCACAACTTTAATGTTGCTACTGTTATGAATCGTAATGTTAATATCTGATATGCAAGATGGTCCTAGGCAATCCCTGTGAAAGGGTCGTTCGACCGCCAAAGGGGTCGTGACCCACAGGTTGAGAACTGCTGCCTTACAAGAAAATAAGAATTTACGAATTCTTATGATATAAATAAATAAATAGGAAACCTCTTCTTTATAGTAGACTAATAATAATGAATTAATGAAAAGAATGATCGAGTTAGAAAAAACATCAATTGAGCTAATGATGCAGTCCTATCCATCTCTTTAATAATCTTCCCCCCTTTCATGAGCCTTAACAGCCTCAAAAAGCCCACTGACCTATCTCAAGCCATCCTCTATCCCAGAGGCTCCAAATCTTTTATCCATGTACTCACACCCAATTAAAAGTTTGAGCATACCCTATAAAATATGTGCATTTCCTGATTTTCATGTGATGGTACAAATAGGTGTCATTAAATTAAGAGATCATAAGATACAGAAAAACAACTAGAAATGAATTAAATATTTAAATAATTATTTTGTTCATTGTGTAGAAAAGCTTTGGAATATTAAGTTTATATATTGGCAAGGGCTATGTGATTAATATACTTTATTACTAAAAATATATATTGGGTTAACCTTGGTAACACAGCACTGTGAAGACCTACATCTAGGCTTGTTGTATTTTGAGAATGGTTTGAGTGGCTGTGATAGCTGGGAAAGCTACCTGTCACTGATAAGGAGAGCTTCATGGGAGAAGTGTACTCTCTTGTCTGAACTCCCTGCATCTTGGCACCACTTCCTCCATCCCTATCACACCTACATAAGGTTTCCATTGAAGCGTGACTATTAATGTTTCATGTTCTCTTGTTCATCAGTTGTTGTTACAAGCTAATTGGAAGGAATTGCATTTTTATATTTTTAAATAAATGGGTACAAATACCACTGAAACTCCTCATTTGAAAACATTTTAGATGGGTTAAAAAACGTAACTTTTGCATATATGAAAGTTTTTGTAGGTGATACATATCGTTTTAGCCAGAAAAATATAATAATAATGTCAACATTTCTAAACATCCCATTTCAACATTTTCTCTCCCAACAGGACTGTTTTTGGGGGAAAAAAAGGCAGAAAAGATAGACTATGTCTTGTGTCCTGTGTCTATTTTTTAGGACACTATCTTCTTGTAAAAGAAAAACTTTAAGTTTCACAGTCCTTTTAATTATTACAATGATAGCCACAAATCTCCATGTAGTACAATACTCTCAAGGTTAATCCCTCCCCTTTTCATCACCCATTATTTTACTTAAAGCCCTGGTTCTATAAAATGAATCACAAAGGTGATGTCCTACAACACCTGATCTGCAACGTGTCATGACAGACTGACGACCCAAGAACAAGTGAGGACACTCCCGTTGTAAAGTTCCCACCTCTCTCTGACTCAGTTCCTTGGAATAATACCCAACACATCACCCACATCAAAGGTAAGGGCTAGTTAGAAACACTAGGAAAGCTTAATTTCTTTCTGACATTTTTAGTTGAAAATAAATACGAAGTTCTAATATTGTCTTTCTCCACACCAGATGGATCATCTTTCATCTTTAGTCTCAGCCCTCCAAACCACCCACTTTCTTACCATCCCCAGGGGCAGCCTCTCCTGGGAATCCCAAGCTCCAAAACTGTTTCTCATTCACCCTCTCCCCTACCCCCACCCTCCAGGAGCTGCTCCACATTAGTAGGAGTGTCAGGTGCTGACAAAGCAGTCTTATTGAAATTCAGCAAACCCTCAGGATTTTGGGATTTGTGACTTTATTTTGAATAGTCACATGGCAAGCTGTGCCTTCCTGCCTAAGCACCGATTCCTACACTCCCTGACAAGTTTAACCTGAGCACATGTTATACTTCAATGAGCCTGCCTTTATTTTTTTATTCTACCCCTTTACCTGGCTCCCTAACCTTCCACATTCTCATATCTGCTGCAAGTATTTCTGTGTTAAAAATTCCTAATACATGGGGTTTCTTTCATGTTACTCCTAGAGGGAGGCCTCCTTGACTTGCAAAACTGCATAGACTCGGGTTCCCAGGGCAACCCTCTTTTCTTTTCCTTCATTTCTCTGGGGGCCAAGTAGCCTGGCTTCTGCTGCCTGACTCCATCTTGAGCCCACACTGCATGAATCCAATGTTGTAAACCATTGCATAATACTTTGTTCACAAACCAGGACAATGCCTTTCCCACCCACTCTGGTATCTCTTTGCTTAAGGGAAATTGTTTTGCACAGTTAACATTTAACTAGAAACTAGCATATCAAAAACTTGGCCCACTTTTCTTAAAAGAACTTAGGTTAAGGGTATGTTGCCTTCTTTTTTTTTAATTCTTGGGATGTCTAAGAAGTAAAATTGCAGGGAGTTCAGTTATCTATTCTCTAATGCAGGCCTCATCAAATCAATCAAATATAAATGAGCAAACAAGTAATTAAAATATTAATAATATTTAACAAGCTGAAAGTGTTAAAGGGTGTAAGCCTCTCACTTAGGATATTTCCACCTGCCTAAATTTCCCTCTGCCTACATGCTCTTGCCTGGACAGCCTCCCAACTCCCTCACTCACTCACTTCTACCTTGTCCCTACTCTTTAAAATAGCCTCCTGACTCTTCCTCCTCCATCATTCTTTATCCCTTTACCCTCTTCTTCATGACACTGATTACTCCCAAGCGCTGCTTGTGTGTTTTCTGTCTGCCCTGCGCAAGTGTGGCTCACGAGGGCAGGGACTTTGTTTTGTTCACTGCTGTGTCCTCCCCTCAAAGCACTGGCTCAACACATAGGCTCTTAGAAAATATGTGTTGAAAGAGTGACTGAATGTCTAGCAAGGAGAAGTTATAGGAGGGCTATAGGAGAAACACAGGCTTTTTTTTCCATGATACTACAAAGCCCACATAGAAAGTCTAGTGCAGGGAGGGGAGAAGAGCCAGGAGTGTCGGTGGCTCCCTGGACCCATCTCCAGGTAGGAAGAAGCATGCTGAGGGGGAACTGGCAAAACAAAATACAGTGTGCCTGTGAAGGTTCTGAAATTACACTCAGGAGGACTAGGCGCCTGGGCCTCTCTCCCAGACTGAGGGGAGAGAAGGAGAGGAAAGAGAAGATGGGTTTGCTACGATTTTTCTAGGGGCCTCCATCCAACCACGTGGTCAGACTCTGTGGCCACTAGACTCTGGGGCCAACTGGGTTGAAATCTGGCTGCACTCTGCTCCACAGTCAACTAGAGGCAGGCAGCCATTTCAGTGCTCAACCTCCAGCCCACACCTTGAGCAGGTCTGGATGAGCAGGTCTGGATAAAAACCCTAAAAGCAGGGTTTTCTCTTGTCTCAACAGAAGAAAGCAAATGACAGAAAGGAAAGCTAAGGATTGAAAGTTGAGCTAACGCTGCTTAACTCTTCTTTCAAAAGAAATCCGTACTGACAGTCATAAAAACGTCCCCTCTCTCCCATTCTTAGCTGACTTCAGAAATAACTGGTTTGACAGCATGAAAGCAGTGTCAATCACCTCATTTACCTGAGCAGCTTTCCATTTTAGCCCAGTTATTTTATAGCACTGGAACAATTATGCATATACCATCAAATATGTGAGACTGACTTGGCTGCATGCATTATTTAACAGAAAAGCTGTTCTCAGTCCTCCTAGTTAAGTCTTCATGTAGTCAACCTATTCTCTCACAACACAAAATTAAAATAATAAGTCAATGAAAAGGACCACTACAGCCAGGTGAAGGGAATGTAGGTGAAGGTCTCTGCCATATTCAGGATCACCCAGCTGCTGTTCTTTGATACAAAGGATACCATTTACTAAACACTTTACATTTGTTGAATAACTTTATACATATTAATGCAATCTTCATCACAATCCTAGCAGGTAGGTACTATTAATAATCCCATTTTACACATCCAAGTGCCTTACTCATCCCAGGAAATGGAAACTGAAGTAATTTGCCATAAGTCACTTGGGTAGAAAATGGCAGAGCTAGGATGTGAATCCAGAAGCCATATGTTCCGGATAAAGACAGCATCAATGCTGACCACCACTTGGAAGTGTGCCAACCCAAATGCAACACTGTTGAAAGGGAACTCATTCTAACCAGGCAGCAGACGGGTGTTGTGAATGGGAAGGAAACCTATTGCCCTAGTGCACAACTCAGTGAACATGACAGTTATGAGGTGCTTTCCTTACTGCATGCCAGGTAGATCCAGCAGTGAGCTCCGATTTCTCCAGGAGGACCACATCCTTCATCCCTGCTTTGGCTAGGTGATAAGCCAGACTCACACCAACACAGCCACCTCCAATGATCACTGTCTCTGCTCTGTCTTTCCATCTTGTTTCTGCAGGTAAGGGTGGGTTGTCCTTTCTGGAAGAAAATTAAAAAAAAAAAAAAGAAGGTAGATCTACTAGGCTATGGTAGCGACAGTGTTTTGTTGGTGGTGGTTTTTTGTTTTGCCTTTTTTTTTTTAAGGCATCTAAAATCTAACTTAGGCCCTAGCTGGTTTGGCTCAGTGGATAGGGCATCAGCCTGCGGACTGAAAGGTCCCAGGTTCAATTCCGGTCAAGGGCACATGCCTGGGTTGTGGACTTGATCCCCAATGGGGGACATGCAGGAGGCAGTCAATCAATGATTCTCTCTCATCATTGATGTTTCTCTCTCTCCCTCTCCCTTCCTCTCTGAAATAAAAAAGATATGTATTTTTTTTAAAAAAATCTAACTTAGGCAACCTGGTTGTGGGAGGGGGGAGGAAGCATTTGAGCCCCATTCCATGTAATTCTGGTTCATTGTAGATAATTAATATAGCTAAAGAATTGAACAGGTGAATTCTTTTTTTCAGAGGATCTAGAGAGAATAATTTTTATCATTCTATTTCAAGGACATACTTATAATCATTTTATCCCATGAAAAACCATAATCATAATGAAGTTTAGTACCCATAATTCTTGGGTCACCTCCCTCCACTGTTTTCCAGGTTGAAGAAACCCAGATGGAGTAAAACTTTCTTCTTCATTTAACTTCCTCTCACCGTATGTATGCTTCTCTAATTAAAATCACTGCTCTGTGGTTTACCATTTATTTGCAGGAGCTTCTCCAAGGCATATTGTAAAAAGCAATGTGTAAGGGAGCCACAGAAGAATATATATATATATATACACCTGTGTTTGCAGACACATAGATCCTCTCTGGCAGATACAAAGGCACTATAGCAGGTGACTGGGGAAGGGGTTTGGAGTTGAAGAGACTTTGCACTGGGAACCCTTTGATTCTGTATCACTTTGTACATTGTGCATGGAAAAGGAAACATAAGTCAAGAAGAAATCCGTATGCTCATTTTTCAGAAGCCGAAGCACCCCTAAGGCCAGAGTCCGCCGTAGCCCCTGCTCCCGCCCTGCAGCCGCCGGGTTCCCACTCACCCTTCCTGGCCGCCGACA